ATTATAAGAATTATTATTATTGTTAAGTTTACTTTTATTACTTTTATTTTTATGACTAATATATTAATATATAATGATTGGTGTGAAGTGCATAAAGCATGGTGAAGAACGTGGATATGTCCTCCATAAATGCAAGTATCATTAATCATTTTTCCCCTCCAGTCGTTTGTTATTAGTAACTGCATTTGACACAAACAAGTTGTTATTCAAAGAAACTGACCCCGGAGCAGGAGGTAATTGTTAACTGTCCTCATTTCTCCCCTCCTCCTTTTTCCACTCAGCCCCTACCCCCCCCCCTCCCCCATGGCCCCATCCCAATTTGATTCTGCACTTGTAGCATGTGAGCTAGAGCTAATAATGTTTTTTTTCCCATTCTGCGCAACGTTTCTGTTGTATGGAGTGTACAGACAATGCTGAGGCAGGTTTAAGTAGTTTCCAAAAATCCTTCCTATCTCTGCGATGCTTGTTGTGCCTCTTTATATCCGGCAATCCGCTCCCAGCAGCTGGCGGTTGGAACTGGGTGTGTCGTTACGCGGTGAGACGCTGACAGCATTTACGGCGACGGTGACATCAAATTACTTTTCGGCATTTGCCGAAAACAGGTCTCTTTTATCCGGATTTCATTCATTAGATGAAGAACTATCGAAAAAGGTTCACTTGTTTAAATTTAATGACCATTTTAGTGAAGTTTTCGTCATTTTTAGATTTTGTACCAAAAAAAAGGCTTCGGCATAGTTGGTTTACTCTCTCACAGAGACAAAGAGTTTTAATCAATCCAAGAGCGGGATTAAGATAAGACGATAGATGTTTGATAGGAAAGAAGGAGCCAATACCACCAGGGCACCCACCTACCACCTACGCCAGTGAAACGATTTCTGTACTGTTGTATAGTGTGGACTGGACTAAGGGTTCTTTGAGAAACACACGTGCCTGCACTTTGCTCAGATAAGCATTCTTTCATTACAGTCTTTTATTATTATTTTTTTTTTGCAGCTTCTGTTTAAAAAAAACAACAACAACCCCAAAACATTTGACAAAGATAAGAAATTAAAATGGTGAATGGGTTAGTTTGTATCATGTTGAAATAACAATATAATCGACTTTGTACACTGTACAAACTTGTATGTTCATGTAAAACATTTACCCACTCAGATTAATCGTTATTTTTTGCTGCCTTGGGTTAAAAAGCGCAGAGGAAAGATGCAATTGTTGAATATGGCCTAGTTTGTCGCCTTTTACTTTTAGATCGTTATGTTGTTCTTTTGAAATTGAAACCATTGGTCTATCTTTTCTTTGTCATCCTATTCCCTGAAGTCATCGAATCTCATATTACAGGCCTTTGAGACTGTCAGTTGTGGCTCCATTCTCACAAACTATCCACTATCTAACCCATTTGACGCGTTGTTTCTTTGTGTAGATTGGACGCCCACATGTTGTCTTGTGTCTCCAAAAAAAAATAAGTGTAAATAATCACTATTCAGTTCGGGGGTGACGACATGAGGTGTCACTGACGTAAACACTAGCCCTGGATGGAAGAGGGAGACCGTTCAGCACAGGGAGTGGGAAAATAATAATATAGCGTGTATAGATTGTTTTCTGCGTCTTTAGCACGATAAACAATGCGCGTGATGCCATGAATACGAGTGCAGAGGGGAAAGACAGGTCGCGAACTGAAATGGAAGAGTTGGGTCATGGGTGTTCTTTAATTTGTACAGCCTACCGTTCTTTTTGGGAGATAATGGGTAGAGTAAAACGAATAGTTAATTAGTTGTTTTTGTTTTAGTAGGGGTTTTACGGCGCTCGCAACTGCATAAGATCATATGAGCGCCAAGGGGTGGAAGTCGACAGAGAAGTCCTTAGAGGGAATCAGGCTTACTCTGCCCACCTCTCTAGCTTCAACAGCACAAAGTCTGTTTCAACTATCAAGACACCCCGGAAATAGCGGGTCACAAGCGTGTGACAAACACCCAAAAGAAGAAGAGGAAAAATGGATAGTAAGGATTAGGACAGAAAAAGCAGCAGTAGGAGTGCGGTACTTGGGGTGTATTGAGGGAAGTAGGGTTGGGGTAGGGGTATGTGGTGAGGGCCCCCCTTGATGAAGTTGTGGGGGGGGGGGGTAGGAGATAGGGGGCGTTTTTGTGTTCGTTCATTCCACCCCACCTACCAAAAAACTGTGTCAATTTCGTGGCCTCGGTTTCTCACTGTCAGATTATTGTGTCCAAAATCTAACAAACACAGTCAGTGTGCTCGACACGAAACCATTAGCTCCTAAATACAAACAAAATTAATACTCTAACGAGCACATGTTATGTTAAGTCCAAGCTTTGTGTGACATTTTAACTGCTCTGTCCTCCAATCTGTTTAAAAATATCCTCAGAAGATGCTGTATTTGCAGATACTTTTTCGATACATGTCTATGTAGCACTTTAATATACACGCGAACACACTTTTGAGTTCTGATTTCGCACAATTTTGCCAAGCCTGATGTTTAAAGGTCCCTTTTGAATGACCATATTATTATCTCGGGTGTCTCTTAACATAGATAAAACATTAAGGTGTCAGATGACGCAGCATGTATTCAGCTCTAAAATGGTATGCTGTATGAGTGGATAGTGCAAGCCTATAACAGAAGGATCGTGTAATTACAATTTCAAGTTTCTTTTGGACGCCACTATAACATAATGAAGGAGGTACGGCATAGGTAAGAAAGGTGGGTTGAGGTATGGGGTGTGGTGAGATAAGAATCGTCACGCCGGCCGAGAGACAAGAAGGGCATAGTGGTCGGCAGCGAGTAGCAGTGAGAGAGTGAGTGAGTACCCTCCCCCTTGGAGACACACGCGACTTCTGACGGACCGCGGGAGTGAGTGAGTGAGTGAGTGAGTGGTGAATGAGCGTGTCTGCCAGCAGCTCACAGACTTTTCCGCGTGGGAGTGAGTATCGAGAACTCCGTCCCCATCATCAAAACCATCCACCCCCTATCATCATTTATTCTGTGACTTAGCCCTTAGCGCGTGCGTGCATGCACACGTCTTTGTGTGCCCATGTGCCCTCGTGTGTGCGTTAGCCTCTAGAGAGGGGAGGGGTCGACAGTCTTTGCGTTAGTGCGCCCCCCACACCGAGCCGTGGGAGGGAGAGAGGTAACGGAGGACGAGTAGGAGGAGGAGGGAGGAAAGGGGTACACAGCACGGATAAAAGGGGGCGTGAGAGCTATAGCATCCGGCTCTTGCCTTCAAATTCCTTGACAGTCCGACCCAGAACTTATAAGGTGTGTGTGTGTCTGTCCTGCAACCATCAGCACCCAAGCGTCAAGGTGGGGCTCAACATCATTAAGTTAACATTCGTCTATCTCAAACAGTGACAGACACTACCTATCTACCACGCACGTGGCGGCGCTGTCGTAAAGAAGCTGTTCGTAATAATCAAAACAGAGAAATAATCTGCTGACATGTTATAACGACGTTTGTTCTATCGTGTAACGGATCGCTCTGAGGCAGAGGACAGAAATTGTTAGATTTCTTCCTCTGGAAATACATGAACATCATTAGGTTTCTTTTCTCTGTGTTTTAAAATTGACTGTTTGTCACTCTAAGCTGTTGCTTAGTGCAATAATAGTTTACTAATGTGTTGTAGAGTTCCAACCGAAAACAGATTGAGGAAAAGTTGAAAAGTTACAAGAGCTTTTTGAGGGGGGTTTGTAAAAGCTGATGGTTAATTCGTCATTTTTCTTAGGCAATAAGAACTATTTCTAATTTTTTTATACAGAAACATCACAACCAAAGGGACAACGCAGCTATGAAGATCTGAACTTGTGGACCTTACGAGAGTGAATTTGTTCTTAAGACATTCCGAGACACCAAGAATAACCGTCAAAGGAAGTACCCGAACCATCTGCAGTCTTGATGAGAACTGCGACACCGAAGGTCATACATTCTATGCACGGAATTAGCAACAACCTCTGAGCAATTCGACTTGACAGGATTTTGATACGTCGTGTAGAGTCAATGGTACAACGTGTCAGCAGTTGCAAGAGTGAGTCGTACAAAGTGTTATTCGTAGAAAGTCTCAAAAGTAGAAAGGGTCAGTCGTAGAAAGTATTAGAAGCAGAGAGAGACAGTTGCAGAAAGAGTGGACCTCAGAAAGTGTGAGCTTATGAAAA